CCCCCGGGGGGGGGGGGGAGGGCTGTGCAGCCCCCACCCAAGGGAGCATCTCAGGCACTATGCACCTTTGCCCATGAGCCACGAGGCCACGGGGCATTCAGGATGAAGAGAGCCAGCGAGCTCTGTACAGGGGTAAAGGGCACCTCTCTAGGTGCATAATCACCACAAAGGGATGTGAGAGGCTTAGGATGACACTGCAACCTGTGCTGGGGGATGCGATGGGAGCCCGAGGCCACAGGAAGGGGCCCTCGGAAGGACCTTGGCGCATGAACAGTACCTTGTCCAGGCCGTGGAGTATCTTGTCCATCTCGGCCTTGGTGAGGAGCCCTGCCTTCTGCAGGCCCCGGCTATAGGCCTTGCTGCCTTGCACATCCACTTCCCACAGCTGCCGGTCGTAGGCGATGGACGCGTTGAACTTCTCCATGATGGGGTCCACGGCGCCCACAAACCGGCCGCCCCATAGCTTCCCGCTCTGGCCAAGAGAGCAGGAGCAATTAATCTCCCCGCCCTCCGCCAACCTCCAGGGCAGTGCCTCTCACAAAGGGCCCGCAGGAGGGTTATCAATGTGATGGCAGTGGCAGCCAGCGAGCCGGCAGGATTATTCTCACTGGACAGATAAGGAAACTGAGGCTCAGAGAGAGGCAGGCACTTGCCCAAGGAGGAGTGTGGGAAGGTGGCTGGACAGTGAAGTTAGGGCTCTTTCCCACCACCTGACACTGCTCCAGGGAGACGGTGGCAGGGTACAAGGACCCCTGAGACCACAGCAGAACTTCTGCTACTGGCCAAGGTGGCATCCAGAGTTTGAATCAGCTCTGATGTACCAGTGATAATGATAATCATCCTGGTAACGTCTCAGTTTACCAGGCACTGTTCTAAATGCTGGGCACCTACTGACAGCGACCCTCTGAAGTGGGCACCAATCTATCTGGCACGGAGAGGGGGAAACTGAAGCCCAGAACAGTTATGTATCTTTTGCCCTCGCCGGGGGTGGCAGAGCCAGGACTGCCGTCCGGCAGTGTGAAGGCAGCCCGCACACACTCTGAACCCACGTTCCGCCAGGACCTCTGCTGGCTCTGCTATTCTGAACGTCTGCTGCAAGGACAGGCAAGGAGGCACCGAGGGACCCATCTGGCTCAAGTTACCTGCATCTCCCTCCCATCGCTCGGGGCAGGACCTAAGGTCCCATCCCCAAAACTTCTTTGGAGAGCACCTCCGACACACCTGTTATCACTGGCCTTCTAGGAGGTCACTAGCTGCCTCTCTGCCCCCAGGAGCCAAGGGCAGAGAGACGGGATAGAGACATCTGTTTTGAAAGAGGGCATAGGCCAGGGCATGGGACAGATGGGGGAGGGGTGCAGAACACCTTTGAAGCAGTCTGAGCACTCAGAGTGCCAAGGATTAGGAAGAGAGTGTACCACGGTGGAGGTGTGGGTGGTACTTCTCTGGCATCTTTCCCCTGGAGTGGGGTTTAAATGGCCCCTGGGGACATGTCCTCCTCTGTCCCTCTGTTAGCCACCTGACCATGACCATGTTATATAACCTCTCAAAGCCTCAGGATTGCCCCTCTATCGATTTGATAAAATTTGCCAAGTGCATACACAGCACAGTGCCTGCCACTCAATAAGGACTCAGTAAATTCTAGGTATTACTAAGGGAGCAGCCGAGGCCTGCGTGGGCCAGGGTGTGCCTTAGCTTGGTTCCTGTGTGCACCATGGGGCCTCCGCCACACTCAGGCCCAGACCCCTCAGTGCCCAGCAGCCTTGGCCACCCTGCAGCAGCTGCCTCCGCCCCCCTCAGCCTTTTGGGGTTTTTTTTTGTTTTTTTAAAAAAATATATTTTATTGATTTTTTACAGAGAGGAAGGGAGAGAGATAGAGAGTTAGAAACATCGATGAGAGAGAAACATCAATCAGCTGCCTCCTGCACATCTCCCACTGGGGATGTGCCCGCAATCCAGGCACATGCCCTTGACCGGAATCGAACCTGGGACC